AACGTAACCAAAAATGTGAGCCACCATAGTAAACCTGTATGGCATAGAAGAACTACACAATATGCAACTAGCTTAAGTTTCAAAAAGACCGAACGGGAATCTCTTGCATAAGCTTGGTGACCCTTTGGGGGGGGGGGGGAGGGAAGGAGCCAGTCGAAAGCCGGATTGTACCGGATCGTCGAATTACCCTAGTTGGTTTTAAAGCAAGCATTATAGTACGGGGCAGTACATTGGTTGGGGCCCCCTCGAGGCGTTAATTCCCAAAATTTCACGCGTTATTAATTGTGTCGTTACTTTTGGTACTGTACTTTTTTGGAGTACAACATGGGCAAGTGCAAGTAAGTAATAGTTAGGAGCATTTTGCGTACTTCAATTGAAAGCAGATCACAACAAGAATTGGAATTTGATGTCATGGAGCTTCTTCTTCGGAACTCTGATGGATTCAGAAATCTCTTTTTTTGTGAAGTACTTCTTTCTGGATACGTCTCCAACAACCTCCACTTCTAGGAATAGCCAAGACTGGAGTATATTAGCCACATTGATGCGATTCAGCTTCAGTGTACTTTCGAACACCTTCATCTTGGGTTGGCTTAAGTGCGCCCAAGTGATGCTGAATCCTTTTGGTCTGGATGATGACGACTATGAGGTGAGTGTGTTCAAAAGGCTGTCCATCTGAATCTTTCGTGTGATGAATTCACAATAACAGTTGGTTCAGTAGTTGTTGGGATATTCCCAGGCGTCACAGGTCTGAGGTAGTGGGTAATAAGATTATGGGCACTTCGTTAGGATCGTAAATTGGAAATAACTGTCTAGTCTCTGCAGATGATCTCGCAAGCAGAGAGACTCATGGTTGAGAGTTTTCCGACGAGGTCCGTGTTTACCTGTGAAGGTAGAGATTGGGGTGATATTTTACGAAGGTAGGATTCGTATTTGGGACTTGAGAAATTTTTGTGGGTTTAGGTCGCAGATTATACAATTGGGGAAAGACGGGATAGTGAAGTGTGGGTCGCGTACCAATTGCTGTTCGCGATGGCAGCTCAAGGGTAGATGGAATGCGGAGGAGAAATGGGCGAGCAAAACCGACCGCCAACATACCAAAGTCCAAATCAGTGTAGAAGTGTCATTTTCGAAGTGTGTCAGGATTGCGGCAAGACCCTACTGCATAAGCAACCCTTTTTGTCCACCCCCTGAATGAAGTGTTGACTTCACAAGTGGAAGTGGGCACAGCGGTAGGCGTAAGGCATACGCAAGGCGCAGGAGGTCCCGGTGGTTGGCAGGGAGAAAACTGGTATGGAATAAAAACAAATCTTTGTATGCAAATGAATGCTATGCGGCCGCATCCAACTGTCTCCACGACTCCAAACATGAGTTTAGTGCGTGGCGTACTCGAAAAACGCCGATCAACACCCAGAACTTTGCATTCGACTTTTCAAGTACAAACTTGCCCCCCCCCCACAGCTAATTCATTTGAAACCGATGATCATTAAGGCTTGCGCTCTGATTGACATGTATCAGCGATCACTGGCAGCTCTTCTCACCAGACCGGAAACGATACAACCAGTTGCACAGCGTGTTTATCATCGACTGCCGCACACCGTAGGAAGTGCCCTGAGGGGGTGAGAACTCAGCGACTCTGTCAGAGATCACCTGGAGAGAATCGAAATCCATAAAATTTCAGAGGAACCAGCGAAACATCACTTTTCGGATCAATGGCTCATAAGGCAATGTCATTGGTGGGACAAGAAGTTGTTCATAAGCCAAAACTGAAAAAATAGGAAAGTTGGCAAGAACGAAAAATTAAAAACTGATAACGAACTACCATATATCTTTTAATTTGAATAAATTTTATCTCTTTTTCTCAAAAGTGATTTCTTGCCAAACACACACTTTTCGAACGCCGATAGGGAGAACACATCTTACAAACAGTGGTCAACCGGCCAATCCCACCTGCTCGATTGTTCCCGAAACTGAACGGCGCTCTGTATTGGTAGAATTGGCGTGACTTAAAGCAACGCCCCCAGCAGAAGTCGTGTCGAAGAATCCATTCAGTGAGCCGGACAGTAGCCCACGAGTATCACAGATGTGCCGTTGTCGCGGCTCGAAAGTGCGCGACAATGGCGCTAGGGTCTTACAAAGTCAGCATTTGGCGACTAATCTTAGCATTTGGACGAGTTACGTCGCGCACACCCATGACACGCAACGTGGATTACGGCGTAGCGGCTAATTCAAATACGCGCGGGTTAGTTGAGCCGTGGAGCAGGCAAGTTCGTACAACTCGTCTGGCCCCGCCCCTTCCTTATTTCAAGGGATCTTGTTTACAGCTTCAGATGG